ATATATTTCAATCACTTTGATATAATTAGCTAATTTTAAAGTAAGCAATATTTAAATTATATCAGCTTTAATGATCTTAAAAACTAAATTTAATAGTTTATATTTATACTTTACTTGCCTAATGTTAAGAATCAGATTATTCTTTGTAAGTATTTTAAATGGCATATAAGATTCTGACAACAAAATGTTTTAGACATCACATCACATCAGTAATATAATTTAGGTTATAGCGCGGGCCACAGCATAAAAAAGTTATATTTTTTGTTTTTCTGGAAAGTGATATGATTATGTATTTTATTGTCGGTTTACAAAACGATTTTAAGCAAAATTTTGCTAGTGAACAGAAAACATTTAAATACTAATTGAATACATTTTATTGACAACAAAATCATCATCCTGTTCGTTCCATAAAGGTCATCTGGCAGTCATTATGTCTCACCTGTTCGTATTTCTCGCATCGCATTTCTGTCTGAATATTTTAACATAATTGCCATGTAAGCGAAATGTACAACTTTTATTGTTGTTGTGCCGTTGGCTTTAGCCTTTTTATATTTTTAGGCCAATTTATTTGTGTCGCCGCCACTGGCATATGAATATGTGGCATTGTTTACTGGCTTAATTTGCATTTGTCTCTCATTGTGCGATGTCTGGGTTTTTCCCGAGTGCATTGGCCCCACGGCCCATGATTATTACACCCATATAAATACTCATAAACAAATATTTGTACATTTACATGAACATTCTTTTGAGCCGTGTAAACGTGCACTGGAAAATTTGTTCTAGAAAATATATAATTATTTTGAAACTGAATTCTTGCTACTGTCTAAAATTGACTGGATTTTGCATTCCAATTTTCCTTTGTTATTGTCATTAATGTTTATTCATAAATAATAAATCGCTATTTGGTGTCACCTTATTTTTTAAGTGTGCGCATTAATGTCGTTTTGAATTCACTTCAGATCGCACTTTTTGTTGAATTTTCATTCGCATGCAATGACTTAATTGTTCATAATTTTGTTATCAGATTAACACAAATTCCGCTTAACGATAATGACTTCATGCAGTTTATGGCCAGTGCGTGCGAAGGATTCGCGGCCAGGACCCTCGGCTTAACCATTATCAGCTGCACGACAGTCGCTTCGGTCCCCTTTCGCTCCCCTTTTCTCGGGGGCCATTCGATTTTATCGCAGGACAACGCTGATTAAATATCAACGTAATTTATTATTCAAATTAAGTTTATCGGCGAACAAAAGGCAGCAGCTCTCGGTGGGTGGCTCCAATGAAATGTTGAGTAGTCGGGTGGCTTATCCTGCTCTACGGGAGCGTGGATATGTTGTATAATAAATTTGATAGGAATGTCGCGTGGGTGTGTTCCAAATTGACATATCGCTTTCACCCAAACACATATAGACATACTCTCTCTTGCCTATAGCAAACAAATTAGCCGGAATACACGCACACACGTGCTAAAACATACACACAAATTCGAATTTTGACGCTCAGCAGGTTTTATCAAAAATGCATTTGTCATTATAAATGCAACGTGGCCGACCTCCACTCAACGTGCTCGGCTTACTCTTCTGGGGCAATTCCATTTCGGGGTAAATTAAGTGGGACATTCAATATGACTCAAATAGTGGGCAGTTGTCATAATTGGAATAAACTTTATAAATCATTCTGGAAGCTTGCTGTTCAAGACATCAGTTTCTTGACCGCAATTATTATTTACCATTTCAAAGTTACCCTCTTATACATTTAATTTAAAAAGTATTTAAAAATTATTAATATTTTTAGGGTAAGTCAATTTTGTAGTAATCTTATATAAATGTGTTGTTTTTTTAAAAAGAGCATTCGAGCATCCGGCGATTTACAAACGTGTTTGGAAAGTTGTTTAATTTTCAATTATAAATTCATATAAATACAATGGTCGACGCGCGGCGCCTCAACTCTCCGTGGCCAATATAACACTCAGCCACGCCCCTCCGCCTTTCTGCCCCTGCCACACCCCCGTGACCTGTGGCGTTTGACAATGGTCGCCTTTATGCAGGTATCGCCATAATGTTGCCACAGCTGCTACACAGAAAAAATAACAGCTATATATCATTTTGATACTCGCAGATCTAACAAACTGTTCAAATCTAATAATGCCAATATATTTTATCAGGATACTATTTTAATTGGACTTTTAATTTTAAATCTATATTTTTAGAAAATATAAAAACTCTGGTATCTTGTCCCAAATCTTATGAAATATCATTAGGTAGATCATTTGACTTAATTTCTTTCTGTGTATGGCTAGATTTGTGTGGCACGGTCAAAACGTGTTCAATAATTTTGTCAATAAAATGTCAGAGCAGAAAAAAAGTAGGTGGCCACTGTGTTTGCCACAAAAAATGGACTGTTTTATATATTTCTCTTTTGCGTACTTTTCTTTTTTTGGGCCTGGCCGTGCGGCCTACAAATCGCCCCCTGAATGCGGTTAAAACTGTCAGGCCATAAGTTTACACAGGTTGAGGTGTGCTTTCTCTTTCTCGTTTTTCTTTTTCGGGTCCTCCCGCTCGCACATTAAACTCATTGTGTTTATGGCATAAATTTGCATGTTTTCCACGTAAATTTTTCAATTTCAATGGACGCTTTCGATCCTTTTGGTCGAGGGTCCTGTCCTGGCCTATGGGCCTTTTGTGTTAGGTGGGATATTGTTGGGAGATGTTAAACAAAATTTAAAGCTGAATAAAGTTATCACCGCGTGCCAGATCGTATCGTATCGGTCTAAAAGGGTTAATATTTGAACGTGCCTAAGGTGTAGTTTGATACCTAAGATTGAGTTAAAGCTATAAAAGAAGGTTCAGGGCTAAGATAGAGGGATTTGTGTTAATACATTTGTAATATTTTCCAAGCAATAGCTTGTCAAGTTCAAAGCGTAATTGCTATTTAGTTTAATGAGAGCTTTATGAACTAAATTAAGTTGGAAGACAGTAAGGCATTATTCATTATCGATATCCTAGTATATATACAAAATATAAATAATGTATTTTAAATATCTAAATAAATAACATTAGCTACATATAATAATGAGGTATAAAAAATATAATTGTGGTATGCAAATCCCGCCCCAAATAAATTCTTAAAACACACAGTTCAAAATTTTCAAAATGGTTTTGTTAGGCTCTCCTAGTATCCTTGCCAACCGAGGGCTTAAGTTTTAGTTTTGGTTTTTGTTGCCCGGCAGGATATCGTGTGTGTTCCCGGCCAGGGCATGTGTATAAGTGTCAAAGGCATGTGTTTAGCATGCCTCATTTGAGCGTAAATACACCTGCAGCCATCAATTATGCAAAGAGCCAGTTCCCTCTTTCCGTCCATCTCTCCATTCGTCCATCCCACCGTCCCGTTGCCAGGTCAGAATCGTCAGAGGCGTCTCCGGCTACGTTTACGGCTTGGACTACGGCTCCGGCTCCGGCATTGGATATTAGCTTGGAGCCTTCCAGTTGAATTTACACACTGAGAAAATGTGAAGTATGAAGTTTTCTGTAAAACATTTACTAAAAACTATTGCTTGCCATAATTAAAAACATCACTTGTAACACTTATAACATCAAACATAACACGGGTTTACAAAATGCTATCGACAATTTACTCCCGAGATTAATCTCTATTATCTAGCGTCAATTGAAAAGGTGAAGAAGATTCTAATTCTAGTAAAATTATATTTCAATGGCCAAAATCAGCTTACCAGAAAACTAGTTAAAAAATAAATTAGGCATGAAAACAATTGAATTTTAAAAAATTTCATTGTCTCCAAAAGCGAGTTCAACAGCACTTGAAAACCAAACATTCATCAATGCAGTAAATTTGACCAAAATGTATAAGATCTGCTGGGCAGTACCAGAATATAACTCATACGTCACGTTGGCTGCTTACGGTATATTAAATATTTTGTTCGTTTTGAATCATTTGATTTTTAAGTACCTGACTAACTATTGAAATATTTGTTGTATATATAAACTAAAATTAGCAAAGTTTATATTGTGGATATACATTTTAAAAGTTTACCAATATTTTTCTTCTGTGAATTTTGCCGTCAGGTAGGCGGGACATTCAACGCCATCGTTGATCTCGCCTCTTTCCCCGACCCAATTTCCCGCAGACCCAAATTTTCATTCAACCATTCAACCAGCAAGTCAGCCAGTCGGCCATCTAGCTAAATTAATTTATTGGCCTTCCTCGCATAGACCAAATAGCTGCAGCTTGCATAATCATCGCACACACTCTCACATGGAGTTCGACAGCTTATAAAATATTTATTTGAACTGCAAGTTGCCAGGTAACACTTGCTGAAGACTGAATTGCAGATTGGCAACCATGTCCACATATCCCTTTATGGAGAGTCAATTTGTTTAACCAACGACTTGTTTTTTTGACAGCGAAAATAGTGTTTGATATAATATTTAGAAAAGAGGAGCTCTTTAGAGCTGATGGAGAATTCTTTAATATTCTAATTAATGGGGAACCGTCTTCTTCAAATTTCATTAAATATTTAAAATCTTAAAATTAACAAAATTTTATGAAAGAAATAATTCAATTTTTTAATTCTGATAAAAATCAATATTCGAAAGCATCCAAATTTTAAAGCAACTAAATTAATAAGCACTTCAATTTAACCCCTCGTGTGACTACGCCTCTGCCGATGTGTTTTACCTAGTAAACGCACATAAAATGCATGGTAAAGGTCATTAAAAAACGTTTACCGAAAACTAAAGTTTAATTACAAGCACGCACAATTTGCCACTTCCCTTTCCCAAAAACGTTGCCTAATTGGGGGTTAACAAATTGTAAAACTTATCGAACTATGAGCAAGGACAACGCCCAGCTCATCAATTATGCTGCTCAAGTGCTTTGTGTGTTTCTCTTTATATATGTATACATAGAGTTTCTAAGGGTATAAAAGGCTGAGGGTCGAAGGATTATGAGCTGAAAAGTGTTTAGTGTCCTCGGAGAGAAAGATGTTACCTCGATTCCTGACCTCCTCGTATCCGATGGAGAGCCATTATTTTGTGGTGCCAAAGTTTGCATTATCGCTGATTGGTTTTTACCCGGAACAGAAGCGAACTTTATTAGTGAAACTCTGGAGTTTCTTTAACTTTTTCATTCTGACTTACGGCTGCTATGCGGAGGCTTACTATGGCATACACTACATACCGATTAATATAGCCACTGCATTGGATGCCCTTTGTCCGGTGGCGTCAAGTATTTTATCCCTGGTTAAAATGGTCTCGATTTGGTGGTACCAAGATGAATTAAAGAGCTTGATTCAGCGGGTGAGATTTTTAACAGAGCAACAAAGGTCGAAGAGGAAACTAAGCTATAAGAAGAGGTTCTTTACTCTGGCCACTCGGTTGACCTTTTTGCTATTATGCTGTGGATTTTGCACCAGCACTTCGTATTCAGTCAGACATTTAATGGATAATATTCTGAGGCGAGCCCATGGAAAGGATTGGATCTACGAGACGCCTTTTAAAATGATGTATGTGTAAAATTGTCCTGTTAGAGTTTCCCTAATCAAACACTTATCTAGAGAAAATGATCCTTAAATGGATTTCGTTTAGACAGATATAAAACATTAATTTAAGATAATCTTTTTTTATAGATTCCCCGATCCTTTGTTGCGTCTGCCTCTATATCCCATCACATACATCCTTGTGCATTGGCATGGTTACATTACAGTGGTTTGTTTTGTGGGTGCAGACGGTTTCTTTCTGGGCTTCTGTTTATATTTTACTGTTTTATTGCTGTGCCTGCGGGACGATGTTGGTGATTTATTAGAGGTTAAAAATATCGAAGAGAGTCCCTCTGAAGAGCAGGAGGCTGTGATAGTTCGGGAAATGGAAAAACTAGTGGATCGACACAATGAGGTGGCCGAATTAACAGAGAGATTATCAGGTGTTATGGTGGAAATAACACTTGCCCATTTTGTCACCTCGAGTTTAATTATTGGCACTAGCGTGGTTGATATCTTATTAGTGAGTTGTCCATTTTTGAAATTCTGGATATCAATTTTCAAAACATTTCTAACCCATAGTTTTCTGGCCTGGGAATCATTGTTTATGTGGTCTACACTTGTGCCGTGGGAGTGGAAATATTTTTATATTGTCTAGGCGGTTCTCATATCATGGAAGCGGTAATTAATTTAAGGTTCAGTTCTAATCATCCTAGTAATGTCTTGTATTTCTGAAGTGTTCCGATCTAGCTCGCTCTACATTTTCCAGTCACTGGTATGGACACAGTGTTCGGGTCCAAAAGATGACTCTTTTAATGGTTGTTCGTGCTCAGCGAGTTCTTACTATAAAAATTCCTTTCTTTTCTCCTTCTTTGGAGACACTGACTTCGGTTAGTTTTTTAATGTTTTTTTTATATATAAATTTATGGTTTTTTTAAAAAACTTTCCTTGCAGATTTTACGCTTTACGGGATCACTTATTGCTTTGGCAAAGTCGGTTATATAAAGGATTTCAAAGATTTCAGTTATCTCATTTCTTGAATATATATTTGAACAAATAAGAAATTGTTAAAAAAATATAATATTTTTCTTTAATATAAATAAATAAATATTGTTATTGCCATTGCTTTGATATCGGTTTTCTGGGAGTCCTTTTAGCATTATGTTTTAATGAAATATTCCATCAAAGGTGCTCGAAAGAGTAATTTACACTTCCTTCCTTCATTTGCGACTTTTCTGCACCTGATTTCCAGCTACTGGGTTAATGTTTCCTGTATTATTTATCCGTAGTATTTCGACTACGTGTGCGTTAATTCGTATATTCTTTACAACAATTTCGGGTTCCTTTTCATTTTCTTTCCATTGACCCCTGACTGTTATTGTCGAATTAAAGCTGCACTGTTGTTAAACATTTCCTTGACTGTCCTTCTGTTTTCAGCTGCTCCTGCAAATTGCTTTCTTTGCAGTTGCTCATCATTTCCTCTCCATACCACACCCCTTCTTTTGCCTTCCTGTTTGGCACTTTCCTCTTGGCCATTCCACTTGGCCATTTTCAGTTGCACACTCTTCCAACTGCAGTTCATTTCCATACGTCGAGCACAGAAAAAAAATGTTGTCTTGCATGTTAGGATGGGAATTGCCAGGAAGTGGGGAAATGTTTTGGGATATTAGATAAACTCTTAAGTAAATTGGTAAAATAGACTTATAAAATATATTTTGACATTTTTTGAAAATGCTGTTAGTGGAAAACTTAACGAAAATCTGAAGTATTTGTATGATTTTGTGTTTATAGTTATAAGCAGATTTAATAAAATACTTACATATTTTTGAATGTTATAGTTTAGTTTATCGCTAACTCTATATAATACTCATTTCATGTTATTCTGTTTGTATAATTTTTGAAAACTAAATTTACTTAAATTTTTTTCAAAAATAGCAATAGTGGATAATAGTTTTTACAGTGCCCACACCCACGCGCACCTTAATGACATCCGGTCTGCGTCTGTGTGTGGGCTGGGTACTTCATATCCTTGCCGCAGTTGTTGATTTTTTCCCCTTTTGAAGACAACCTCTTCAATGAGTGGATGTTGTCTGTTTTTTTTGGTGTTCCTCTCGGCTGGATTTTGTGTTTTATTTTTCTGTCTGTTTTTTTATCTTGCCATTGTTCATGCACAAATTCTTGCCATACTTTTACCCCTTAATGTTGTAGTCCTTGAAATCCTTTACACGCACATGAGCGGGCCTATCTGCTGTACCGTTCGCACCTCTATGGCCGTCTCTTTCCCCATGCCTGTCTGTTCGTCTTTGTTTCTTTTGCCATTTGTTTGTTTATTTTCGCTGGCGCCTCCTTTTGTCAAAAGTGCTTTTGCTTGTAATGTGTTCGACGTCAGAAACGGAACCTCTTTTCCTTTGCTTTTTTTTTTTACCAACTCTTACCATTATAACCTCAGATTCTTAAGCTTTTCTTTTTATCCGCCGGATACAGCTCTATATTTTTTTTTTACAAAAATAATGATATTAATATTACAAATAAAACTAATTTTAAGTAAAATTATCAAATAATATTGTTTTAATTTCCGTTAGGTATTTCCATTTGTAAAACAATATAATTTTCGTAAACATACCCAAAAGGCAAAACTAAAAGGGTGAAAATATTAAAATTTAAAATTTGATTCGCTCAATTTTTTTCTGTGCTGCTTACAAAAGATTTCAAAATTGATATTAGAACTGTAAAAATAATCTGATATTATTTATATTTTTATTAAAGTTAAATCACAAAGCTAGTTTTATTTGCCTTTTCTGACCGAAACTTTCCACAACTTGATGATTTCTTCGTTTATTTTTGCGGTCCTGCACTGTGTTCATTTTGCCTTTTCTTGTGTTCTTCATGATATTTGGTAGCTGGTGTGCTGCTTGTTATTTTTATTTCGTTTCCATTCAGTCAAGCTCAGAACTTGTTTCTGGCCCCAACCCAAAAACCCCAGCCACAACCCCTTCGACCTTCTCCACCCATCCTGCCGCTTGTTAATGTTGTTCGTTTTCACATTTTTATGTGCATTTTGTGTGTGTGGTGAACTCAACTCATACATCCGCATTTGCTACGCAATTTTTGCACTCAAGTTTACCTACTTTTTATGGTAAACATCCAAGGTTGCTTGTTTATTCTAGCAAAAATGTATTTAGGTGAGCTTAACTACATGTGGATGTGTGCGATGGAAATGGAAAGAGAAATGGAAACAGGGTGGATAAGGTCACCAGTGGGTGACTGGGGTCACATCCTCATCGTTACTCCAAAAAGGAGAAAGTTAAATAAATACTTCAGCTCTTTCTCTGTGGATTATTGCAAATACATTGCTTTTGGCCTTCAATAATTATAACGCGGGGGTAAAATGTGCACAGCGGATTAAGGAAGCCAAATAGTTCGTTACGGCAAGCGTGTAAGCCATATTATAAATACATTAATACACATACGCACAAATGAAAATATATACAAGTGTGCATAATTAAATTTCGAAAATATGCATAATTCAGTGACAAGAAAAAAATTATAAAAAAAGAGGCTGCACATGAGTTTCAATTGAAATAAATAAACGCTTTTAAGAATACGACTATCCAGGCATAAAACACAATTAATTTAAGTTGTTATTAACTTTTTAAGAGTGCAGAGTCGACTGGGCTTAAATTATCAAATTTATCATGTTTTCCTATTTTAACTATTTTTAAAATATATTAAATTTATTTACTTTTTAATATATTTTAAATATATTTAATTTTGTTAACATTTTAATAGCTATTTAGCTATTTTTCTAAATTATATATTTCACGTAAGATATATTAAAAACTCAAAATAATGGTAACCTGTTAAGTTAAAACATAATCAAGCTGGAGAGTTCTATATTTCAATTAATCTGAAAATATTTTGTCTGTTTGACTTTTAGGGTATTATTGGGCTCTTTTAAACCTATGTCATTAAACGTTGTAGCTGTTGTTGTGCCTCCCTTGTTGGACTTGTTGTTGTTTTCAGCCATGGCGAAATTATTTTAAATGTCATTTTTACCTACAAGACTAATTAAATTTCGAATTTTATGCGCGCGACAGCCCAAGTGAAATGTACATAAAACAAGGAGCACGGCAGCGAATTAACAAAAACAAACACGACCAACTGTAAAATGGTGACCCCAACAAACGCAGAATTTTCCGGGGCGAGGTGGAAAATCCGGGGAGAAAAGCATTGGTACTGTGAAGGAATGCGCCAGCATCGCCACATGAGTGAAATTATAAGCAGGCGCCAAAGTCTTTGGGCCATTTTCTACGTACAAGAGGACAAGACACGTTCGTTGAAAAAAAATGAAAAAATAGGGAAGGGGGCAAAGAAAAGTCGCGGGAGAGGGATCCATTAAAATTCCGTTGGGGCATTGCAAAATAAATCCACTTGCAGGCGGTGTAAAACAAAACAACAGCAGCACTCAGTCGAGAAGGCGAAGAAATCGCCGTTGTGAAAGGGAAAAAGAGGCATAAAACTCGTCATCGTCAGCGTTTTTTTCCCTCTTCGGCGTCAAATACCAAACGCATGTGATTCCTGCAGTCCTGGAATTCCGAAAACAACAAAAATAAAAAGGCTTTCTAACACTTTGGCACTTGGAAAAATACATAAATTATAATTTATAATTTGATGAAATTTTATAATTTTTTTAATTAGAAAAATAAATAGCAAACGGTAAAATTTTTAGATCGTTTTCAACACAATAGGTGTTATGTTAATGTGTTGTTAAAAAATCACCACATTTATTATTTCGTTGTTAAAATTTCGCACACTTTTGTTTAAGTTTGTGTTTTCATTCCGTAGGCTCGTTGTAATCATAAAATATTTTTTGCAGTGCACTCTTGCACACATACAAAATCGCGCCTTCGTCCTTGTGTGATATGTGAAATGGCAAACAAATATTTTTTTGATGTACGGCCTAAAAGTATGCATTGAAATTCAACACGCGGCAAGGGACACCAAAAAAACGTTTCCAGTATTGATTGGTGGGTAGAAAAGGGGGTTCTGGGGGGTTGGATGATTTTAAGCGTGTGGTATTTTGAACGCTCCAAATTAGCACCAGATCCTTGTTGTTTAAGGCGAGACGAGAGGCGGCATCAGGAAATTACAGATGCTGCAAAGTGGAACAAGTTGGGGTGGCAAGTCAAGTGAATTGAAATGGTAATGATACATGACAATGTTTCGTAGATAGGGACATGAATGGATATGGGAGGACTTGCAATCGTTCGCTTTTGATGTTGGGGAGCTCTTGGAAAAGTGTCACGATATTGCTTTAAATGCGAGACATTTTTGCGGTTTTAGCAGCAGTTGTTGTCTTATTTTTATTTTGTCAGAAGTCGGATCTTTTAAATAAAAGGATGTGAACAAATGTAATTACGGCTAGGCATTGGCAGTGGGAAGTAGAAATTGAAATGACGCAAAGTGAACATTTTAAAAACAAACTTTAGCAAACAATCTTCTGATACTTACATTTTTTCAAATTAATTTTTGCACATACTTGTAGTTGGCCAGATTAATAACCTTTTCCTATCCATTCGACTTTTATGAGCTTTCTTCCTATCTGTGTAACTCTTAAATGTTTTGTTCACAGTTTTTATCACGCATACGCCTAGTTGAGCGCCTAAAGGACTGAGGCGCAATTAGAGACAACAAGCGGCTGTCTACCCCTCTCTATTTCCACCCCTACCCCCTCCTCTTTCGGCAGGCTCTCCGTTTCTCGCTGTTTTCCTTTACAGCAGCACATAATCTGCATACAAATGCGTTGATTTGCCTAATCGACGCCTATTTGTTTGGACCAAAAAACAGAAAAAGGAAACAAAAAAGACTTAATATTCGGGAAGGCTAAAGTTTTTCCAAGCAAATGCGAGGCAAAAAGCGAGGCAAGTAAACCGACGTTTAATTTTTGGAAATCGCGAGCGTGTTGCACGCATTCAAATTAAAAGCGAAGTCGGGCACGCCCCCAT